ATAGTTACCGCCGCAGTCGGCGAAGAAGAAGAGAGGGTTAAAACAAAACCCTAAAATAATGTTCAGCAAATAAAGCGCCCTCCCCAAATTTATTCATCTGCTTTTTCCTTTCCTTTTATTTTATGATTATTATTATTATTTTCTTATTATGATAATTTAATACTATTTAGAATGGTATAAAATTTAATTTTTTTATTAAACTAATTCTTAGAACTTGCCGTTAAAAAGACCTTTTTTCAATTTTAAACACATTTAATCAAAATTAAATCCCTTTTTAAATTAAAACCTATTTTAATTAATTGACACATTTTCTTTAAATTAAAACTTTTAAAATTAAAAACATAGTTTAAAATTAAAACCAGTTCTAAAAGTAAAATCCAAGTTTGTAATGTAAAACCTTTTTTAATTAAAACATTTAAAATTGAACCATTTTAAAAAAAGAAAAAGAAAAACTAAAACTATTTTTAAAATTTAATTTAAAAATTTAAATTGGAATCTAAGTTCACAGTTCTAGGATTAAAACTTGTTTAGAAATTTCTAATTTTAATAAGCTTTCCCCTTTGAATTAAGACTATTTTTCAAATTAATCCTAATTTTTTTTTCTTTTCTTAAGACATGTCTAGCCCAATCGGTAGCGTTTCGCTTTCAATTTTGAATATTGCCGGTTTATTGCCCCATTAATTTCGTCTATATTTTTAGGTCGTTCCATTCATTGTTTTCTCAGTTGTACAACTATATTACTTTATTTGTCAGATTTCATTTTGGTTTGTAATTTATGTGAGGCTATCGTCGCTATTGTTTCAGTTCCGTTTCATTTTGGTTTGTAATTTACGCGAGAATCTCGTCGCTTTGCATTTTTTTTACGGTTTTCGTACTTTCTTATAATTCAATACCGCCGTTTAATTATCTTTCATTGTATTATTCACCGTACATTTCTCTTCCGAAGGAATAGGTCTAGCCGTTTGACCGCCGTGTCAATATTCCTCCCCTTTGAATATTTCCCTTTCCAAAACCCTAATTGCCTAGACGTCCCGCCGTGGACAAAATTACCCTTTACCCTAGCATTAGGTTAAGGAGTCGCCGCACTCCGTTTTAGGTTTCCCGCTGTGGAATACCTAGTTTACCCCTATTAATTCAATTCAACTTTTCAACATAGAAATAAGAGTCGCCGCACTCCACGTAAGCGCTTCCTTAAGAACGCTTATTCCCCATTGAAACCTTGACCACCGTCAAGAAGTTTCTCTTCCTCCCTTTCAAGGGGAACTACGATTACTCTAATTTCATCCCCTACCTCGGATACGTAGGCACAAGATGCGAGTCTTGGCGAGTAAACTTAGGACTAACCCTTAGGTCTTTCAGTCACTCTTAACCCTTAGCAATGTACCCTTAAGCAGATAATAAAGCAAAATAGTAAATTTTAAACAAAAGGTTCGTGTAGAGTACTACAGAAGTTTAGGGTGCTAATACCTTCCATAAGCTTAACCAACCCCTTACCTATGTCTCTCCTCGCATTGTTTACGATGCAAAAATTAGGTTTTCCTTCCTTTGACATTTTTCTTCGGATAAATCAAAGACCGGTTGTGAACTAAAGATGTGATTCAAATTAATTAATAGTTTGATATCCTATTCTCACCGCAATAGAAAATGACGACTTCATTGGGGACAACGTCCTAACTTTTAAGGGTTAACCCCACTTTGTTTATTATTTTTACTATTTGCTTCATTATTTGCTTTGTTGTATATATATTCATATTGTACCTTGCTTGGGGTATCTATTTTATTGTGAGATAAGTTCTACACCCGAACTTGAGTGAACTTATTATAGAAAGGTGATATATTCAACGAGGCTTATAGGGAGTGAGTCCTGACCAAGCTGACTTGAGAATCACCGCTCAATTGAGACCCTTCTAAAGTTAGTTCGGTTGAACGAGTACAGTCGTGAAAACCCTTACTATTTTCAGATAGGAGTACATGATATTGGGGACCGTAGTACCTTAACACCACCTTGGCCTTATCTAGGACGTAGTGCGGGAACTATGAGGGAGTAGTCCCAAAATAGTTGTTACGCGATACTACACTCAAAAGATGTTATATCACAAAACGACTAAATAATTAAATTGGGAGTTACATTCTCTCTTCGATTATTTAGACACTGTTGTAGAGCTCCCTGTCTGAATACTCATCTTCAGACTAAAAACAATCTCAACACATCAAACTCTATTTTCGCCTTAGGACAAACATCAAAAATAAACTTTTCACAAACAAACATGTTATATCTATTCGATCGCGATACAAACGAACGCTCAAGTCTCTTATGCACGAGCAAACAAGCAACATTTAACTGCTAAAAAGCAACCTTAACATCATTCAATAAAATCAACCAACAAACACTTATTTTCTACCACAAACTATAAATCTCTGATTTTCTCATTGTACCATGAGAATACGTAGGCACGAGATTTTGAAATTTTGACGAGCACATTAATTAAAAACTTATTTTTCCCCTTAATTAAAACTTTATAAGAAATCAGATAATAAATCAGTAATCACAAGTAACTTCTAATTAACACTCATGTACACAAAAACTATCAAAACGGTTCCTACCGAGTACAATAGATATGAGGGGTGCTAATATCTTTTTTCTGCATAACCAACTTTCATACCCGCTTTTGGTTGTGAAAACCATTGCTTCTCTTTTTCTGTCGTAGGGTTTTATCGATATTTTCCCTTTCCTTTGAAATAACTAAAGTTCGGTGTCGCCTCTGTTTATATTTTAAATGTTCCTGACGCTTAGATATTTTACGCGGCGCGACAGTATGCATTTTTACCGACAATCTCTATAAATCTGATATAAAGAATGTATTTATATAGATGATTTAAAAAAAATCTCATAAAAACTCGTAGAGTTGATATTGAATTTTTAGAAAATTTTTGTAAAATTCATCCAAAAAATTAGTATATCGAATATTCCTAAATATCCAATATAAACTCATAAATCTGATACTGGCTATTTTAAAAAACGGTAAAAGTGCATCGTTTATGTGAAAAATCATGTATTATAGCAAAGTATTAGGTAAAAACTCATAAGTTTAAAGCAAAACGCTACTTAATTGTAAAAATTCGATATTTTCCAAAAATTCTCCACGTCAAAACATCGGTTTTTGAAAAGAAAAAAAAAATCTAAAATATGTAGCTTTAATTGTGACAAATTAAATTTTATGATGTATGGATATTATGGTCACATTGCATGTTATGTGAGGGTGTCAGGTTCAGGGGAGGGGTTTGTGGTAGATTATTCCTAAATAAGTGCTATGTCACCCATTAAGTATGCAAGAAAACGAAAATTTGAAATGGTTGATAATTTAATATGCCAATTTCTTTTCGCACCCTAGACTTTTTTTAAAAATTTTGGCGAAAATTTAAAAATGCAGAAGCATCTATTTCTCATAAAATTGAACGCAAACGAGGGAGTTATCTTTATTATATTTTATTTTAGAGATGCATGTCCAGATATACCATTTTCTTTTTTACCAAAAATGGTGTTTTTGAATATGCATATCCATAAAGTGTCATGTTGTGTTTTTTTTAAATTTAGTATGAGGTGTATCCAGATAGACAGACATAACAGTCACTCGTCAACAATGCAACAAATATGCAAATGTCAACAATGTCTCTATTGAGAAAAAAATTGGAAAACAAAAAATTGATTAAAATAAAATTATAAAAATCTAAAAATACAACTAAAAAAAATCAAGAGTCTGAATAAATCAATAAATCATATTGTCGGATTTTTTTTTCGAAAATATGAAAACAGAAAATAAATCAAATAAAATAGAAAAACAAAGAATTTAGAATTTTTTGGGTGGTGTTCTGTATTTAATCTCTAAATAAAACGGTAAAATTTTGATTCTGAGTCAATTTTTCATAAAATCGAGTTTTGTATGATAACGTAAGAGTCAGAATGCGAGGCTACGATTCCTATAACTTTAATATTTGTTAAAATCAATAGAGAATTTCTAGAAACGGCGTCAATTTCAATGAAAAACGTGTAGCAAATGGGGTCAGACTTTTCCAGGAGATACGTTTTCAAATTCATCTTAAAAAATTTCAGAGATACATCTCCGAACTAATTTTTTTTTGACAAAAACGGAGTGACCGTTTAATTTACAAAAGATAGGGTGATTTAAAGTACATTTAAAGACACATCTCTAAAAAAATTTACGAGAACATTTTTGCATTTTCAAAGATGTGAGACACACCATAAAGAAAAGAAATTGCCTTTCAATATATCTATATTGTTAACATCAAATATTAGTCAGCCATCTATTAGTGAATGATTTAGATTAGTAACTTTTACTCTTTTTTTAGTTTACTTTTACACTTAAAATGAGTTGCTCTCTTTATATAAGCTGAACTCGATATGCCTATGCTTTTTCCATAAGAAATTAATCAATGAACATGAAAATCCCACAACTATATCAGAAGATTCATTTACCATGCTAAGTATTCAAAATTCAAACCAACATAACTCTTCCAAGTAGAAATTTCAACAATAAAAAGAACCAGCAACACTCATTATAACTTCCTTTATGATTTGAGCAATGAAGATACAGATGACTAGTTTATGAAAACATCCCTTTACAACACATGAACACGACCAATTATAAGAGAAAGAAAACGAGGAATTCTGACACATGAATAAACACCATCATGCACTAGACCATCTGACTTTTGTAGCCAATTTAGAAATGAGCACTGACCCATCTTTCAATCATTCCCAGCAATAAGTTTCCTCAACTATGCCATTTGCAATAAGAAATTGACGTGAGTTGATGAGTTTATACCATGTTATCATAATTCTACCAAAATAAGAAGAAAAATTCTACCTCAAATACATCACTATAGCCAAAATTCCTTCAAACATAATCAAAATATTGATTGAAAACTATGTAGTTTTAAGTAACCCATATTTATAGTGCAAGTTGATAGAAGAATGTCAATCATTTCTTCTCAACAGTAACTCCAACAAGTTCCTTCAAAGCATCTCTCCTAGGCCGCGCAATTTTGTTGTTAGGATCAAATAGAATAACTTCTTCAAATGCCTTCAGAGCTGACGCATATTCTTTTTTACTTTCATAAGCATCACCAAGATTGTTCCACGCTGTGACATAGCCTGGTTGAATCTTCACAGCTGTCTTAAACTGAGCAATTCCTTTATCAAGCTTCCCGTCACGAACATAACTGACACCAAGCGCGTTGTAAACCTATATCCATGGATTGCAGGTGATGATTATTATCAAAGTAGATATTAACAAGTCACTTCGGAACAAACCAATAATGGTAGAATTGTATAACTACTAGTATTTGAATTTTGAACAGTTGCACGGGAAGATATTTGTAGCGAGTAAATTATTTTATTCACTTTCAAGGATTCCATATTTATATAGTCTCAAGCAAATATATATTCCTGCGATATATCAGAAACCATAACTTTTTTGTCCCTGACATCAACATCTGCTACAAACATGCTAACACGACAAATTGAGGTCCATTTGACACTTGTCACAGTTTCTTCAATTACCAATCCAAAGTAATTTCCAAATTAAGCATAGATAGTTTATTTTATTAGAAATCAACCAAGTCATCTAACCTGGGCAAGATCTTGATTTTCTCCATCCCATTTATCAATTGCTTGAAGCAAGAACTTGGTAGCAGCTGGGTAAAATTTCCTCCGCAGCATCACTGCACCAAGTTCAAACAGTGCAGTCGCATTTGCATCACCACTTCTGACTTGCTCCTGAGACAATAAAAGATAAAATAAAGTCAAACTGCTAAAAGCACTTTCATATAATCTATAATCCATTTTAATAAGCTATCACTGAGAACTTATGGAGTTGTCAAAAAAAATTTGAGAACCTACAGACATATGCTAAAAACAACTTTTGGATTTGTTAAAAGTTGTTTTCCTAAACTCTCCTAAACTGTCTCACAAGTGCTAATAGCAGTAGGTAAAGTCAAATAAGTCAATCGAAACAGCTTCCTAATATCTTTCACGGTGTTCCGTGGAAAGGTCTAATAATATAAATGACTAAAAGGAAGAATTATAGGTTCTTACCTGCAACTCTTTGGCCGAAAGGTCAAGTTCTCTGCGAACAAGAACTTGGCGAATCACATAGAAAGTTCCAGCACCGAGCAAACCCAACAACAACAGCAAATATATTAATTGGATTCCTAAGTCAAACAACTCCCCAACCTGATACATCTCATTTATCTTTACTGAGTCGCTTGCATATGAAACATCAGGAGAAATAACTGATATAGATTGTCCAAACAAGAATGCTGCAACCCATTTGGACGGCTTTTTCCTATCTTGAAGATTTTCCAATCTAAAGTCATTCACTGAGAACACGGAAATACAAGATTAGAAAGGGAAACGATTCTAGCAATTGTTGTAATTCGAAAATGATTTTGAAGTTTGGAATTAGCTGGCATTTGCACAAATGGCAGAACCAAGTTTAGCAGAATGTATAAAATTAAACAAGAGACACAATTTTTTCATCTATTTTACTTATGTGAGTGATTAACTTAGGAATCAAGGGAAAAGTAAATGCACAAAACCGGCATCATAGTTTAACCAGAAGTCATCATCATAGTTTAACCAGAAGTCATCCTTAGAAAAGTCGTGTTTGTTTTTCTTTATATTTTCTTGATATTGCCATAAAATGGTGTAGTATTTCTTAATCATTATTCCGATACAATGTTTCAGAGGGTTATCAGAATAAAACTATCAGCGTGAAGGAAAACTTGATATCAGCAAAATCATATACTTCTCACCCTTACAACATCTGCCATTTTTCTATAAAACATGTGACATCAATTCATTCATACAACAACAACCAAGCCTCATCCCACTAAGAGGGGTCGGCTACATGGATCAACTTTCGCCATAATGTTCTATCCAGGACCATGTTTTTATCCCAAAATCTCGAGGTCGAGACATCAATTCATTCATGGCATACAAAAACTATTATGAATATGAAAATTGAAAGAGCAAGAACAAGGAATTACTCTCGGAATGTTCTCGGAAAATGGTTGCAAGTGGTTCCATTGGCATTGCCCTTTGAAACACCTGTCTTCGACCATGATAGCAGGCAAAATAAAATAAAAGTTAGTAGCCTGAAATCAAGATTGTGATTTTTGTGACACCATCAAGTGATTGAGTTGATTTTGTTAGATAAATCAATGATAAAATTGAATGAAAAAAATGCTTAATTTGGATGTAAAAGACATGAAACCAAAACAACCTGGAGCAGAATCCTATTCTTGAGTGCATCAAGGCTGCTTCCATGTGGAGTGGAAGGTGTTTGATGAATTGCCAATGCTTTGATCTTTCTGTAAACAGTGTTCCAAGTTAAAAATCAATCATGCATCATAATTCAATTTAAAACAATCCACAAACACACTAAGCTTGGAAAAAGGGGAAATGAAATTACTTACTTGAGAGAGCATGGTGATGAAGTGGGAAATTTGGAAGGGAAGATAGAGGAAATAGAAGGAGAAGAGTAAGATAAATGAGTGAAGGTGGAAACACTCATCTTCATTTTTGTTCCTAATTTGGGGAAGAACAGCAACAGGGGTTATCCGGCAAGGGGTGTTTGTGTCAGTTCCGATGTGATAAAACGGTTGAATGTTGAATCCGTGGATTATTAACCGTTGGATAAGTGCTATACATGGCTAATCAATGGTTTGGATTAATTTTGTAAATTAATAATGTCTTAAACATCATTTTCTGCCCCCCACAACTATATTTTTATTTAATTATAGTTTATGCAAACAAATTATATTATATATTTTTTTAATAATTGTTGATTTATAAATATAAATAAATTAATATATATGAATATCGCAGAATGACAAATATTAAACTTAGATCGGTAGTTTATGTTTATTTAACTCAACTAACACATATCAGTTGAGTCATTTTATCCATTTAGTTATATTTTAACTTAATTAGTCACGAAGTCTCTTAACTTAATTTCAAGTTTTATTTTAGTTTCTTATCTAATAAACGTTGCATTTTAGTTTCTTAAAAATCATTATGTTAGTCAAATAAATCATTTGTGTTAAATGTTAAAAAAAACAATAAATTGTGATGATGTGGCATGACAACGTGACAAAAATCAAAATAATGAGTCAACAGTTTCTTAAGAGATCAGACGATAACCAAAATGTAATTAAAGTGGCCAGACCAGAATTTCATAAAATTTTATCCGACCATAACATGTTATTTACGGTAACAAAATTTCATATTAACAAAATCTTGAATTTAATAATATTAAATCAGAATTTTATTACAATCTATAATTCAAATCAAAGACATTAAATCAAAATGACATTAAACATGTTTCAAAATGTCATACGGCATACCGACACACATGGTTGTCAAATTTGCGGGTAGACTCGTAAACTCATACGAGTTTATAAGTCTAAAAATCGAAAACGAGTAGACTCGCGCATAGAATTATTTTTTGATAGACTCGAGTAGACTCGGGTAGACTCGCATAAACTTGTATAAACTCGCGAGTCTATGGCGAGTTTACGAGTCTATGGCGAGTTTACGAGTCTATAATTAATTTTTTTGTATTTTGTTTTTTTAAACCCAAAAAAGGTCCAAATTTCCCAAAAGATTTTATTTTTATTTTAAAAACCTTTTTTTTGCTTGTACGAGAATTAGAAAGGTTTCCTCCTAGTCTCTTGTTTTAGCAAAATTTCTTCCTCCCTTCATAGACGATGTGTGTTTATTACCTCTCTTTCTTTATTCGTGTTTTCGTAAATTAATCATTTGTTGTGTAATTTTTTTCCTAATATATTCCACTTGGATGTTTCTCTTGTATATTCTCTTGTACATTCTCTTGTGTAAAGATGACAAATGGATAATTGAAGATCCTAATGAGAAAAATATGCAAACTGAAGTTAATGTTGATAATATGATGTTATAATTAACAATGTTGTGGAAGTTGATGTTATTATTAATAATGTTGTACAAAGTGGTGGTGGTGGAAATGTTGAATTAGGTGGGAGTGGAACTTCAAGCAATCCAACTTTGGTTAATGAAGAAGAAGGTGTTTCATCCGGGGTAAAATTTGATGATGATACTCAAGATGTCAAGCTGGATTTTGGATATTTAAAGCCATTAACATATTTGTTTTACGATTTTCTTTTTGCTTTATATAGTAGTCAATTGAGAAGAAATTAGTACTTTAAGTTTTTAAATACATACTTTGCTATTTTGTTTGTTTTATTATTGAGTGTTTTTGTTAAGAAATTTATTATGGATTATGGAATTTAATTTTTGATGTTAATTGGTATTCTATTATATATATTTGTATCATATATGGAATTTACCGTAACAAAATTTCATATTAACAAAATCTTGAATTTAATGACATTAAATCAGAATTTTATTACAATCTATAATTCAAACCAAAAACATTAAATCAAAATGACATTAAACATATTCCAAAATGTCATACGGCATACCGGCACAATTACAAAAAGTGTAAACAAACACTATTACAAAAGATGTACAGAAAAGATAAAAACAATTATGGTTGACTCTAGATTTTAATCCTTTTTGAACCCTCATTTTCTCTTTGAAATTAGCTAGCTGAATTGAAGAAAGTAGTTGTGTAGATTGTGGTTGTACTGTCTGATTTGGTGGTGCAAACTCAGTTGGTCTTACTTAGTAGTGTAAACTCAGTTGGTGTTGTTGAATTTGTGTTAGGATGAGTTGCTTATAGTGTTAAAGACAATTAATTTCAAATTTTGTCTACTTCAACTTCAAATGTGTCCATCTATATGCAATCATATTTATTACACTGAAAGTAGCAATTATACATATTAATTTGAAACTTCAACCATGGTTATATAAACATGAAATTTGGGACTAACATTCAAAAGATTTCTCTCTATCTAAACCTTTAACGGTGATCAATGCATATTAAAAAAAATAGTTTTACTTCAGTTTTATCAGTATAATAACAAAAATATAACTACAAAGACAACATATTTTTGCAAACAAAATTGATTAGATAAGAAAATATAATTATAATATCTAATCCATTTTTCAAGTATTCAAGACTAGAAACTAGTACTAATAAAACACTGAAAAGTAAAACCTATTCGAAGTAAAAGATTACATTTATTGAGAACCTTCATTTATAGTTCAAATGATAAAGGCAAATCATCTTCATTTTATGGTATGTTATAAAATGATAGCATAAAAATAATATTATATCAAAACACAATTATGTAGCTAAAACAATGAACAACTAAATAAAAGGATGTGACAGTGATGCATAGAAATTTAGTGTAGATTAATATTAAACAAAGGATGTAAAACTGCTGACATAATTTTGTCTTCGATACAGATTTTGTGGATGCAACATTTGTCGAACCACTTACAACCTCAACCTCAAAGGTATACAAGTCTTGTTTTTTCATGCCTCTCAAGACTTCCTTCACCCCTTCATGACTCTTAGGATACTTTTCTCTCCTTGAAAAACGTATCCCTTTCTGTTGTATTCACCAAGAGAAATCAAATTTCTCTTCAAGTCAGGTACATACCTGACTTCAGTCATTAACCTTATTAACTCATCATGGAGCTTGAATCTCACAGATCCAATACCTGCAATATTGGAAGATTTGTTGTTTCCCAGCAGCACTGATCCACCATCTTGATCACATAGCTCCTCGAACAATTCTCTGTTTGGAGTCATGTGCCAAGTGCAACCTGAATCCATAATCCACTCTTTTCTTGCATCGCCACTTGAAACCACAATAACATTAGATGAGTCGAAGTTATCTTGAACAATGGCTACGTTGCCATTACCTCCATGATCTTTCAGGCGTTCAGGGCACACCTTTCTTGTGTGACCCTCCTTCTTACAGTGATAACATTGAATACCAGATGTTTTGCCACTATAAGATTTCTGTTGACTTTTACCTTTCTTCTTATCGAACTTACCATCCTTGTGCAAGAATTTTCTCATAACGGCCAAACCTTCTCCCACCGTCGAAGGTTTATGCTCCTTTCGTTCGTTCAAGTCCTTAGAATACAAGGATGATTGAACTTCTTCAAAGGTCAGGGACTCCCTTCCATACAAGAGAATTTTTTTGAAGTGAGCATGTGTTTTGGGCAAAGCACACAACAACAACAATGCTTGATCTTCATCATCGATCTTCACATTAATATTTTCAAGATCAAAAATCAGCTTATTGAATATATCCAACTGCTCAGCCAACACTTTTTCTTCACTCATCTTGAATAAATACGAAGCTTTCTTCAGATAGAGTCGATTCACCAGAGATTTGGTCATGTACAAACTTTTAAGTTTCACCCATAATTCCGATGTTGTAGTCTCCTTTGATACATATTGAAGAACCTTACCATCAAAGCTCAACAATATTGCATTGTGAGCTTTCTCAATCATGATCGTCTTTTCTTTTTCCGTTAACGCATCGTCCATGGTTGCTTCTCCCTTCAACGCTTCCAAACAACCCTGCAACCAGTAGGGCTTTCATCTTCAAGCGCCACAAACCGAAGTCGTTCACTCCGGTGAATTTTTCAATCTCATACTTTGTTGAAGGCATCTTCTTCATGCTCATTGCAACAATTTGTTGTGAATCGGATGTCTTGAAATAAAGTATAAACGGTTTCCTTATGATAAAAAAACATACAAGGATTAGGGTTAACAAAGAAACCAAGGTAAAACAACAAGGAACAACAAGGATTGGTTATAAACTGCTATTCTTTCCTTACTCTTAGAACATGATTACAAGTATACAAGAATAAAAAAATAACCTCTCTCTCTCTCTCTTGAAATTAGGATTTTATCTTCCTATTTGCCCTTATATCAAGATTGAGAAACTAGCATCCTATTTATAAGAAAAATAGCACACTAACCTAATGGGCTTTTTAACAATTACCCATTACAAGCTAACTTAGGGTACAAGCTAACTTAAACAATTGGGCTTACAAGCAAGACCTAATTCAACATGCTAACAAACCTAAAAATATTGACTAATGCATGTTAGAACAAACTTCGACTACAACACGCATCACTCCAACATCAGCATGCGAACATACTTCGACCTCATGCTTAATTTATGTCAAACCAGAAGCTACCCTTCGACCATACTAGAGTTCGATCCAACATCTTACAATAAGGTGTATTCCTTTATCGTTCATAGTGTCATTATACCTCCAAACAACCTTAAGCATCTTAGTGCTTTCATATTAGGATTGTTTTGTCACAAGGAAAAGTCATAAGCTCAACTTCCATTCACTCTCAAGAATCAGCAACCCCGCCTACCAGAACTACCAAAACATATTCCTTTATTGTATTATAATTTTTTTATATATTAAATTATGAAATAATGTTGTAAAAGAGACAAGCAAATCTAATAAATAATCAAAGGAAACAAAAAAGGAAAATATCACATTATCCAAATAGATAAAAACACCACTCAATTGAGCATTGTTTTTGACATTTTTCTTAAATTGAATGCAAAAGGTATTACTGAGTTTGGCCAATACCAC